AAAATTATATACTCAAATGAATGAAAACTGTACTAAGATTGAGTTAAGGATTTTGATGCTGCTCGTTTAAATCAGCTTTTGCGTTTTATTATCACATGTAGTGTCTTCAGTTTCGTATGCTGGACTATTGCATGCAACTTGCATTGGACGCGATTTCTGCGGGAACTTCCCTACTGTATAAAAACTAAATTCTATGCACTTGCCTTATGACATCGCTAATTCTTGAACATCGTAAGGAGAAGCATCAATATTCCGTGCAATAGAAGATTTCATTTGATATACCCAAAATTTAAATATTTACAGACTGCTTTTAACCAGTAGTCTGAATTGAATAGACTCACCGGTAATATAAACTATATAGTAGCTCATATTTTACTTATTATGTATATAATATACTATATTCTTACAATAACTTAAAACTCAAGCAAATAAAATAGCATTAAAAGAGTCATAAAGAGAGGAAAATACATTTGCAATACTGCATTATATTTATCGATACTTTATGTGTATGTCACTGTTTACCATGTGAATCGCCTGTCTGTATTTATATCGATAAAGTATACTTCATTATGAGTTTCTGCGGTAACTATTGTTAGGTTTCAAAAGGCATACGTGTAAATAAAGCTATGCAACAAAAACAGGAATTTTTTGTATTCGATTTGTATATACTGAGGGACAAATCAAATGTCTGCCATGTGATGTCTTTATGGTAGTAAATTATAAAACCAACTGACAGCTCCATGTAAGGGGTTCAGAGCACATATGACAGCGTAATACTATCTTGAACACATTAAAACTCTAAAGCAAAAAATTAAAAAGTGAAATTATATTTTGTTGATCTTATTCATGATAACAATAACCAGGGCCGGCGTCCAAACGAACGCAATCGGTTTATAACCGAACGCAATCGGTTACCCCTAAATTCTGCTGCCCTGTGCGGCCACCGCACAGGGCAGCAGAATTTAGGGGCGGTAAAATTTTTAGAATTTTGGATAGAACCGGGCGGTAGAATTTTGAAGTTGCAGAGTTTGCAACCGGGCGGCAAAAAGTTTAGCGCCAACTCTAACAGTAACTCAGATTTATTAAATCCTATCGAAAGAATATCTATTGTGAAGAAATGACATAAAAAAAATCAATATTAGAAAAAACATGTGGAGTAGCTTATGTTGATCATGTGACATGTTTTGTTTGCGCACAGAGCATATACTACGTTGCGCAAATCAAACACGATGTTATTTGGTTCTGTTGAAGATTATACCAATAATCATTTAGCTGAAGGTAAACTAACAAAAAAAAAAAAACTCATAATTTCCTTCATCTGACCCTTGACACTGTGAAAGCTATGATACGCAAGAAGAAAAGTTTAAAATATGACTCTAAAAAGGAGGAATGCATTAAAAAACTTCAAGTATGCTCTTTTTTCTTGCAAATTTCACTTTACTGCTGGTCTTTTAGAATATCAAAGTTTCTATAAATCCAATCCTACTAACTTTGCAGAATTAAAGAATTAGTTCTACTTTGCGTGAACTTTTGGAAACTCTAGTGAAGTTTGCCCTTTGAGTTATCATTTTATATAAATTTAACGTAAACGGGGCTCTGCTTTCGAATCGCTTCCATTACTTTCAGTCGTACTAAGTGAAGTCCACCAGCAGCCGTTTTCTAACAAATGTTTTGTAAAACAAATTACATAATTTGAGACACATTTATAGTAAGCTTTGATAATATATTTTACTTGCCACTAATTATTACTATATAGACTAGATTTACTTCCCTGTTGCAGCAGTTGTAAAAGAAAGAAAAAAAGTAACTGGAAAGTACGGATTCTCTCTCTCCAAGTATACTAAAGGATACAATTTATAAATTAAAGATTTAGTTATTGAGTCTTGAAATTTTGTTACTGCTGACTTTCATCTATATAGTTAAGTACATTATACACACACACACACACAAAAAAAAAAAAAAAAAAAAAAAAGAGCTAGTCTTCTTGCATTCTGAGTGCTCCTTGCATTTTATATATTTATGGCGCATCCAGTTTTTTCGTTACATTATTCTTTCGAAACAGTTTTCCGATATATTTTCTGCAAAAATTTTTGCATATGAACCTCAGAGATCTAGCCCCAGTTGTTCTAAAATCAATTAACTGAAATTAACTGGGTTTTCTGGGCCTTTTAATTAGCATTCACACTATTTTTGCGAATATTTTAACTAGCTGTAAAAGTTTTAAAAATGCTTAACCCTCACATATATCACTTTGGAAATTAATCACACAATGATCAGAAGGAAAACCTCGAAACGTGTTAAAAAGAATTCATCTGTTTTGTATACGTAATCTTGTAGTTAAAGCCACATGAGTAAATTTACATTTTGAACGTAATTTTTAAGGTGGCCAGAAACGAGTTTTGTGATTTATCCGTACATTTGTAGTTTGACGCTAGTGAATGTAAGTTGTAGTGGGTATAGAGTAAATTAAAGTATCCTTACAGTGAACAATAAATTTTATAGCGTATCCTGAATTCTTCATGCTAAATGAAGAGCTTTGTGGTTCCTAAGATAAAGATGACGATGAGAGGTTAGCTACACTCTCGAGTTAGTTAAAAATGAAGTCCCAGGAACACTAATGAAAGTCTTCCAACTCATTTCATTTTGGTGTCTAATCTGATTCGCATTTTGTGGCCGTAACATCAGTCTTTGGTTAAGTACACTGTTAGTAATCTTCAGAACCTGAACTAATAAAAAATTGTAACTATCATATTGGTGCTCAGTGTACCAGAATCAGCAGAAAAACGTATTTCTTCGCATTACGAAAATGCCATTTGTCTGTTGCTCAGTGTTTATTCAAACACTTGAAAAAATGACTTGTGTTTGAGGCACACATTTTTCCCATAATACGATTCACCGCAGAGCTGGAACGCATTCTTTCTTTTGACAGCTGCACCTGGAGGGAAAAAGGGGGCTGTAAACTCTTTCTAGTGTTCAAGGTTAGATTTAGAATCTTTGCTTTTTACAGCTGCCAAGTGGACGTGAATATTTTCATTTCTTGTCCCATACGGGGCAAGTTATGACAAGACGGGTATTTATATGTTCGCTTAGAAACTAATTTTCATGGAATGTCTTGAAAGTTGATGATATGTTTTTGTATTCTCTTTATCGTGAATTCTTTAGCTGAAAATGAAAGTTAGTGTTCGCCATCATTACAGTGCAAAAATAACTGTACAGCTAATTAAATTCTGTTTTCAATCTATTTTAAAATCTCATTATGTGCCTAAAAAAATAAAGAAATTTTGTTTCTTTTAATTCATTTGCTTCAATGAGGTTAAGAAATAAGATTCAATGAAAAATTTCATTTAACAATGGTGCACAATAAAATAAAGTAAGGATGATTTAAGCAAATTGCATACAATACTGTACTCAGACCCTAAAACTTCTTGTAAAATACCGCTCTCCGCCTCCTCAGAAAAAAATATTTAGCTTTATGCACATTGCTTGCTGTTTCATTTTCGTCTGCATCATTAATTGTTTCATTGCTTGAGAATGTTTTCAAAGCGGCAGAATTAGCGAAGAAACAATGTCTAAAAGATAGGCCGAAAATCATCGAAAAATTTTTTTTTGAGCTCTGATTAAAATTTAACAAGTGCTATTACTAAAGAGTAAATATTAGTCATCATTTACGTTTTTGTTCTCTTTTTTATAATTTAAATATCTTTTTAACACATTTTATTATTTTTAAAAGTTTTATTTTTTTTTAATTTACTTTAAATTTTATCATTGAAATACGGTATAATGGCAAACCATTCTTTCGTTATTAACGTTAGGTCTTAGATTTCCGGAGTATTATATCACATATAAGTAGTTCTCGATTGAAGTATAGTATTTCTTATGCAATCTGAATGTTTGCACTTGTTAAAAATTAGCTTTGCACTTTGTTAAAAATTAACATTATCCAACATAGAGACTAGTAAAGCAGTAATGCAGAGACATATAGAGACGTATTTATAATATATCTTTCACTAAGATTTCAGAATGAACATTGCTACTTTGGTTGCGCTTAGAAAAAATAAGTAAGTAAGTAAATAAAATAAGGTGGTAAAACTTGAAGTATTTTATTTAACTTCGTTTAACAGAAATTTCATACGAAAAAATTCGTATGAAGTATAACTATGCCGTAATCAAATCATCAAGTTGCATACAGGGCCGGCGCTACCCTATCTGCCGCCCGGTGCAGTTCTTGTAGCTTCTAAATTCTGCCGTCCAGTGCCTCTCTCTAAGTTAATGCTTAACCGCATCGGCTATGCCGCCCGCCCTATTTATGCTTGGCAGGGCCGTTCCTAGCGGAGGTTTAGCGCGTAAAAGTACGCGAGCGGCGAAAATCAGGACTCTAGCGAATCCACGACTAAATGTTTTAATTTCATCGTAAGCACTTGTCATTATGTAAGTACTTTTTACACAATTTGTCATATGTAAGTACTTGGTGAATATGAAATAAAATTTTAATAACCATTGAACACTTTTTTTAAATTTGGGAGGCGGCAATTCTAGGAATGTATGGTCTAGTGCTTGCTAAACGTTTAAACTGGCCCTAGCTGTTGTAAAATCATTATTCGTGGGATTGCTACATATTTATCGTTTTTCAACTGCAAGAACTCAACCATTTCATAGTGTGTTGAATTGGAAGGTGTGGTGGCGCCATCTATTGGAACATTAACAAAATGAACTCTTTTGTTCAATTTCTGAAGTTTAAGGTCTAACTAGCAGGTTTTTTGACGTGCATATGAATTTGACAGCAGAAGAAATTTTTCCAGCACTTAAATTTCATTTATTTATTTATTTAACTACTTGCTTATTGAATTTCTTAAATTAGAAAAGGAAGGAATTATAAAATGACTTAAACTTAGGTTACAGAACACAAATTAGTACTGTATTTCTCGAACTTGGGCTTTACCTGCAAAATATTTCAATTTTTATTTCTAAAATGTGATTAATATCAAGTTTTATGATTTCAGGGCATGCCTCTAACCATCACTCCAGCCCCCATAAAAGCAGAAGATCCCGATGAAGGCATCCAAGCTCCAATTCAGTATTCTTTTAACTCAGGTATGTTGAATTGTCAGTATCTTAGTACTGCAGGAGTGTAAGGAATTATTTATGCAAGTATGATAATGAGATATTAAATAGCAAGAAAACCATAGTTTTCGTATTAGTGTAGGACATCGATAAGAACTCCGAGAAATATTAGCTAGAAATTTCGAAAGAAAGGTAAATAACATTCTTTTAGTACAAAGAAACTATTAATTTACTTTATAACTTAAAATTAATAAAGCCGTCCAGTGCCTCTCAGGCGATTAGAACTATAAAGTTAATTACTTTATAATTTAAAATGAACTATAAACTGCATAGTTCTAATCGCCTGAATAGCACATAATTGTAGTTAGTACTCAATATAGTACCTCACGAATCTCGGGACATCTAGCCTAGTTCATTATTCTTAATTGTTGTATTTTTGATATTTCCTGAAAAATTATTTATGAAAAGTATTTTTGATTAACTGGGGAAAATTCAATTAATTCCCTGTGGAATTTAAAATAAAAGAGAAAGCGCGGAAAGGAATCTAAAATGTTTATCGAATTTACATGTTTCATATTATGTATCAGTCTCTCGCATAATCTAGTTAGTAATTGAACTGATATATTATATCCAGCTAATACTATTTCAGCTAGTTAATAATTCAGCTGATATATAGCCTTTCCACTTCATAATATTCTAGCTCTTGAATTCGCCAGCAATTTTTTATTCTTTTTTAAGTCGATTTTAAAATTCCATTTCCACTCCTTAATATGAAATATGTCGATAATAAATATTTAATTTTGCCGCTTTTTTCAATAAGTGGCCAATATACAAATACTGTATTTTGTACTTTCAAACTTTGTTTGATTTGTCATCCTGATGATCAATTATAAACTAATTTGCTGCCTTTCTATCATTTTAGAATCTCCAGAATACTCATATTTTGAGTTAAATCGCCGCACTGGGCAAGTTACAATACAGAAGGCACTTCCTGAAGACCTACGTCTACCAATTACATTAGTTATTAAAGCCACTCAGATTGACAACCCTGACCGTTACTCTCTGACTACGTTAACTGTGGAGAGTGATAATATCTTACCAACTGATCTGAAGTTTCTGCAAACAGAATATGTCACTACGGTGCTCGAAAGTGCACCTCCTGGTCAAGTTGTAATCACTGTTCATACAACCAAACCAAACGATAAGGTACGTACATTACCGGATAAATACAGGAATAAGAGTCAGTTTTAAGCACTAAATAGCAATATTTTTTAGAAATAAGTAGTTTTACGAGAGGTTAGTTTTTTATAATAATTTCAAAATTGTTAAAACTTTGCATTTTTGTTTGCATTACTCTTAAAATTCTGAGTCACTTTCAGCCTGATATAAGGTAACCTATGTTTAAGACAAAATTAAAGAAAAAGGTGTCGAGCCTAACAGGTATTTATAAATGTAAAACTTTAATTCTTAAATAAAATCTGTAAGGTTAAATGGAATTATAAATCTACATATGTTTTGCATAAGAAGAAACTAAGCCGATATTTTTATTACGAAGTTATAACATATGAGACAAATATATTTCTTGGGAGTAAGGAGAGTCTTGAAATGTCAATTAGAAGGTCTCGATTCAAAATCAATGAATTTTATAAAATTCTTTCTTATACTGAAAAATCAGTGATGAGTATTTTTTTTTTTTTTTTTTTTTTTTTTTTTTTTTTTCTTCTTTGCAGCACGTACGTCTGCAGTTGTTAGAGAATCCAACTGAAGAATTTGCTATTCAAAACACGTAAGTAATTCTACTCTTTGTAAGCAAATATTTTTTTCCTATATTTAATATCATTAAAAATTATTTTCTTATTTTCAATTCTATTTTTTTCCCTTTTAGGGGTGAAATTATTGTGTCAAAACCTCTGGACTATGAGAAACAAACTCTTTATTCTTTAAGAGTAGTTGCTTCAGATGGCAAAACGGTACGTATTTTAACATATTCTAATCTATCCATCGTTTGGATAATTAAAAATGCTTTATTGCTTTCTTTTCCTGCTTAATTCCTTTACCTTGCATGCAACTACTATCGGGTAGGACTGCTTTTCATTTTCGTGAAACCAAAAAATGTCCTCGGTGCATAAGCAGGAATAAACTCAAATTATGCCACATTTTCTATTGAGAAAGTTGCAATTTAATTAAAAGAAAAAAGGAAAATAAAATCAACTTCTTGATTTCATTATAACTACGATTTATTCATTAAATTTTGAGCCTGTACTTGACTTTGGTTAAGGTCCTCAAAAACCAAGTAATATGACAGGAAGTAAAATCCAATGCGTTGATAAATTTTTACTTTAATAGAAGTTTATTTATTATGTGTTTGTTTATTTTAATTTTAATTCTTTCATTTTTGTCTAATGTAAATGCTATTTAATGTAATTTATTTATTTATTATTTTTGTTTTTACTTTTTCTTTGTGAGCATGAGTCAGTTTCTAAAACACATGAAGCATGCTCTTTATAAATGTGCTATTCTACTGTAATTAATAGCATAATAATTATAGGTGTTTTCCAGACTGCTGACTCGGAAAAATTCAGTACAAGTTTTCAGTAACTGGTAGTGACCCGGAATTAGTAATGCATATGCATTCAGCATTATATATTAACTTGAGAAATTTGTTAACATAAATTGACAATGTAAGTCTTTGAATATCTGTCGTCTGCTTTCCTCTCTAAACAGAGATATACTGCTATATCTTGGTTTTAAGGGTAGTCTTGGATTCAGTAAGCATATTTTTGTTAGCAATTAAAACATTAAGGAAAAAAGAGAGTCAAATTTTCAATTATCGTGCAGTAAAAGCTGTAAAGTGCAGCCAAATGTGTAATGCACACATGGTGATAAGCAGATTCCCTCTTAATGCTCTTCTTGCGAATTAGAAACCCCAAATTGATAACTTTATTTGCCACAAATAAAATTTTATTTTTAAAGCTATGGCATTCTCAAATTTAAAATTCTTCAATTTGCTTTCATCTATGGGCTTGATTTTTATTTCTATACAAGTTCTTTTTTTTAATTTATATTTCATCACTTGTAAATGAAAAATAATAAGTAATAAATAACTAATAATATTTAAACTTTTCCAGTTCTTGAATTTGTATTAAATATAATTTTAATATTCTGTTTAGAAAATAGCTAATGTTCATTATGCAAGTTAAGCCGGTATTAATGTCATCGTAAGCTTCATTTTAAAATGTATTTTTCATTTTTCATAGAGTGATGTTGCAAGAGTAAATATCACTGTCATGAATGTGAATGACAATGACCCAAAATTTGCTCAGCCACAGTATAACTTCTTAGTAAAACATGAAGATGTCCGGATAGGCAGTCTCATAGGAACCATTGAGGTAAGACTGAAATTCTAATGTAATGAAATAATGTTTAATATCTAATCTAAATTAAACAAGTTTTTAAAATCAGAATATAATTCTCTTCGTTTGTAATCAGTATTTAATTAACTTTGTTTTGGTAACTTAACAAGATTAATTACTAGTTGTTTACTTTGTTTATTAACAAGCCACAAAAGTAAATTAATAGTAAAAACTTGTAAGTTTTATGTATAACATTTAAAATTCTTTTTACTGAATAGTATTTAATGCAGTAAATAAATCATTTTAAGTGGATAATATTCATAAAAGATAAATGTTTTTTAATTTTATAACTGATCTATTAACAGGTTGCAGATGAAGATATAAATGATACCGTAGAATTAAAACTGAAAGGCCCATTTGCAAGGTAAGCATAAGTATCTATAACATCTTAAAATGTGCTATAATTAAGCATATATATCACCGATATTTACATTGTTGTCGAGCTAAGCAGTAAGTCATATACGCAGCAGCAGAATTAGCTATAAAACTGAAATACTTAGTTTTCTGGTGGCACAAAATATGTCTTCTTTAAAATAAATCTTCAAGGTGTTACTTTGCAAAAGGCAGGATTTTTTGTACGTATTAAGAAATGTTTGTAATGCACACATGGTGCAATATACATAATAGTCCGAAAGACTACGAACATTTGAATATTTTGTACTTCAGTGACTTTTCATGGTATGATACTAAAGTTACAATAGAAATGTTTAAAGTCACGATAATTCAGGGATTTTTTTTTATACAAATTTCTTAATTCAATTACATTCGCTAGTCGTTGTTTCCATAACAAAAGGTACCTCATAAGAAATTCTGAATGTGACACATGTTATTGCTTATCCCAAGCTAAAATTGAGCTGAGATATATGGACAACAGAACTATCATCGTTTTTGGAAGTCACTGTTATATGTTGTCGATAGCACTGCGCGTTTCTTCTACATTCCCAATTCCCTGTATGATCTTTATGACTTCAGATAACTAGTAACAAAGATTTTCTGATTTCAGATTTGTATAAACTTTCATACCAAAAGCAAAGGGTTTATTACTTCATTTTAACTAAACATAAAGAGTTACAAACAGGGAAGCAATATGGGGTAATGAATGTCATCAGTGCCACAAATTTCGGTATTTGTTTTTCTTCCGAGTGAGGAATAATGCTGCTTCCGAAACATGTCAATGCGAATCTTTTAAATGATTACTTTTTGGATTGACTTGAAGAATAAAAAACTGTAGGAAAAAAACATAAGAAAAATAGGCAGAAGTTTGTTATATATTTTATATGCGCATTATTTAAACATCCTTTGAATTCTAATTGACCTATGTATTAGTCTTATTTTATGCATTTCATTACTTAATACAAAAAAAAAAAAAAAAAAAAAAACATTCAATGTGCATGAATAAATGTTGATTTCAACTTGCATAAAATTTCATGAATATTGATAAACTTCTGTACATTTGTTAAAATTCTTAAGCTTATTTATAACTTGTATTCTAAATACATTCTAGTTTTTATTGAATTTAACAAATAGTAGCTTAATGTTTAATAAAACACTTTTATTGATTACAGATTAAATATTATTTTATTTATTTTAGTGCGGACGAAATTCCGGAATTTTGTTCGCTATCAAGGAAATATTTAAAAAATTTTATTTAATTTTTTTTCAGACGAAGAAATACTTTTAGTTTAAGTGTATTTAGTTTTAAGTGACTTAAAGTTATTGTGAGAAGTAATTTTTTTAGGTTTAGCTATGTGAAACAGAACTTTTTTTTTTTTTTTTTTTTTTGATGAAATTTATTGAAGTTCTATTATTTTCTGTTACTTATTATATGGATGACTGTTTAACATTTTAATGTGATCTTATCTTTTTTTTAACCAATTTAGAGTATTTTCGATCACAAATAAAGGAGAGCTTCGTGTCCGAAATCTCGAGTTTCTTAACGCTAGCACGTGCCATGTCATTGTAGAAGCAACTGACAACGGAGACCCACCTCGTCAGTCTTCTGTGCTTGTTACTGTTCAATTTCCAGAAGATATTACTCAATCCAGCGTTTTCAAGATTAAGAAATCAGACAGCTCGCTGCTTCTTATGATCGTTTTTGGAGTCCTTCTGGGCACCCTGATAATAGTCATTATAACACTCACTGTGTATATTTTGAAGACGTAAGCACATTCTTTTAGATTACTTATTAATATATTTGTCCTTTTAATGTTTTGAATTTTTATTCCATTAAATTATTGTCATGAAATTCTTGGTTATTAGAAAAAATTTAATATTCCTTGAGATTAGCATTAAAAAATTGATACATCTGACCGACTTGCTGCTCTATATGGTTATTCTTTTCTTATATCAATACCGCAGTTATGCTTTCACCGTCAGCAGGTAGGTTCTATTAAACATTCAAATTCAGCTAAATTTTAAAACATTACTTTTTATTCATTTTCCTAGAAGTTTTCTAAATTTCGGTAATTCATTGATCATATTATGTAGGAAAAAACATATCATTATATTTAGATGTACGTAATATGCAAAATTATGCAGCTGCTTTATGCCTTTAACTTAATACTATACATATAGCTTATATGTAAGGATATATTGATAACTTAATCAGTATTGGATAATTGATAATTTAATGAGAAGTTACAGGTTTACTTAAAATTAATGCATTTAAAGAGATTGGCAAGATCTAGTCAGTGCATTCAATTTTCGAGCAAAATGGTAATAAATGTGCCATGTTTCCACTGTATTTCAAATACTAAAAGATATTGTCAGGTACAGGTACAGATAGAAGCGGACGAACTGAAACTCTATCTATAATTGAAATAAAATATATTTTAGTACCCTTTGACACTAAAATTGAAACAGTGGAAGACATCAAATGTCTCATTTGCTCATTAAATATGGTAGGCTGAATAAATGTTAGTGTTGGTGTATTTAATTATGGCAAAGTACACTTGGGCTGTCTGCCTAAGGGGAGGGATGCCTTCTTGGAAGACTTTCTAAGGAAAACTGGCTCGTATACACCTGAACAAAGGATTTATGGCTGAAATGAGCGACATTTGATAAATTTTATGCAGGTATAGGTTTCCAAAATAGAAGCCATCAGGGAATCATTCGATTAATATGTCCCCAAATTAAGACATCGATTAAAAATTAAGACTAATTAAGACAATTTAGTTAGCATCCTCTGGTGTGTTTCAAGAGTATAAAACTTATTACTTTGGGCACAGAACGAACCACATCATAGGTAGATTACCTTATCCAATGAAAAGTTCAAATCAAACTTAGCATGAATGCTGTCTCACCAACTAACATCAGTAAAATAAATATTAAGGTCGTCTTTAATCGCACTACCAGAATAATTTATCGCTGCTGGAATTGCATACACTTCGTTCATTAGTATCTATACATATGAACGATAGCATTCATGATCAGCGTTTTTGATTAATTGATATGTTAAATAAATCAATAACTGGGCACCAGGTATGTAAAGTTTTAAATTGAACTTTATAAAAAGATTCGTTAGTCCATATTCAAAACAAAGATCCATATTGAAGTATTATATGCAGTGCATCCAACAAACGATAATTAAGCATTGAAGATCGATCAGCTGAAAAACTGAATGTCATCATATAATCTTAGTAGCAATTTGCAACTTACAGCAATTTTAAGTTTCGTCTGGTTGGTGTTTCAATTGAAAGGAATTGATAGCAGCCTTCAGTTAAAAAATATCTATTTGCATGCTGATACAGCTTTCTAAGCCGCTTTGTACCAACATATCGAAGGGCTGTTAGATAACTGAACGTATCAAAACAAGCGAGCACTTTTTGCCATCATAAAAGGCTTTTAAGAGAAATTGCTTCATCGTACATAAGGGGAATCGCGGGCATTCAGCTTTTATGTGGGAATCAACCCTGGGGCGAACTGCCAGTGTTCAGCGGTCTTATCTACTTGGCCACTAGTGGACTAGTAGCCACACTTGGACAACATTTGTATTAATAATATCTCTCAGTTTTGAAAAATGTTTTTCAGAAAAGTTTATGTTAGTATAACTGATATGCTCTCAATTACATATATGTTCCCAATTAATTTTTATGGTGACATTTTTCTTTGAATTCGTGTGACAAGATGATGTGTAAATGGTAGATACAAAATTTAAAATGTCTTATCAAATATCATTGGAACGGGAAATTGCTAAATCAGTAAATATTATAACTTTATGTAATGGCAATAGTTCCTTATTCTAAAAACTTACTCAGTTTTAAACTTAAAATTTGGCAATCTAAAGAATTTTTCACTGACATTCTGAAGAGTAAATGGATGAAAAGTTTTATCCACCAGTGTGCCTTGCAAGTGACACAGCTAACAGTTTAGCTGTATGCCATTTCATAGCCTATTCAAGATCTGCGCGTATGGGTATTATAGGATCAGGTGCAAAGCGTGTAGTCATCAGTGCCTTGAAACAAAATCTGTCCAATTTTTTATAAAGTAAATTAATTAGACGACTGTGTAATCAGTAATAGACTTTTTGATTTCAGTGATACATGTTAACTCCTGTATATCTTTAAAATAAAGCATTTCTATGAAATGTAACCATGTAATTTATTTTGAAACAGAAGATCGTTATTTATTTTGCAATGAGCAATTTTAAGGTGTGATTTCATGCATCTGTGCATATTCCTGTATATGCTTGTGCACTTAAATACTTCTTTTCCTTCTTTCAGAAAACAGTATCGAGACCGCATCCCTAATGTAGTTTCTTCTGGTGGTCAACCTATGGTAAATAAAATGGCCACCTATATATCTGGTAGCAGTCTTCCGAGTAATAATAATAATAAACCTCAGGGAGGACAGAGCCCTAATGCTGTTGAACGGCAGTCAGGAGTTGAGAACCCCGTGTTCAATATGGCAGATCATAATCATCAAGGGACTATACATCGAGGGCAATTACCTCCTTCGCCTTCAGAAGTCAGTGCTTGGCAAGCCAATGGCACCCTTAGAGATGATCACCAGATGGGTAACTTTACAACCAGGCCTGGCAGTGGATTAAGTAATGGAAAAGTGCAAAATATTTATTGGCCAAATGGTTCTATTCCCCGTAGGGTGAAGAAGTTGAGTTGGGAAGATGAACAGCCCAATAGGGTAAGTAAACATTTTGTTTAATTCACTCTGAGGGGGGGGTACTTAAACAATGTTTCGTTAGTTTTTAATATACTATAGAAAACTATAAAAAGTCCATATAAATTTCGTGGTATAAATTTAACTAATGACAAATTATTAATTTCTCAGAAATACTCATAGTTTTATCACATTAAACTAGCAAACATATCTAAAGAATTAATGTGGAAAATGTAATGCTAGTTTCTGAAGTTGAAGACGTGGCTTTGGGGAAATGCAAAGAGAATACAGATTGTGTTAGATATTCAAATTGAGTCAAATGGAATTTAGAACTGTGGAAGTCATTGCGTTAAGTGGACTTTTGCACTTTTGGTCACATATTATTTAATGCTAAGGTGTGAAGTCAACTTACCTTGATAAAATGAAAAGAATTTCTTTGAACGCCGTCTACATGAACGCGAAATGAAAGTGGAGGGAAAGATTCCATGTAAAATAGAGAGATTAAAAAATGCACTGTAAAGAACTTAAAGACTTGGAAATCTATCTAGATGATCATAATTCTTTGTTCGTAAAATATTTGCGAATGCTTGTGTACAGTACATATCCACACATCCGAAGCTTTGCCTTCGGATTATATTTCTAATAAAATTCCTGGGGTAAGTCAGATGACTTATTTCTGCATATCGCATAAATTAATGGTGCTCTTCGGAGAGGCTAAAGCTTAACCACTGTTGTCTCAAAAATTGAATTTGATTTGGAATTTACTAATCCAGCAAGTGACAAAAATTTCAAACTGCAGGCACATCTATTAAATTTGCTTTGTTTGCAATTAATGATATAATGTTTATATCATTAATTGCAAACAAAGTGAATAGTTTTTTGAAGCAAGGGGAGAGGAGGAATTCGCTGCTAATAGTTATGTAATTTAATTGTCTTGTTTTAGTACATTTCTAACATTTAAAAATTAAGTAAAAGAAACAAAGATACCTTTCGTGGAAACGGACATTAAAATAACACGAGTGATGTCATCAAGTGTATCTTATCTGTGGCTTACGTTAGTCGAAACCTTTTCAAATATATTTATTTAATTCACAAATTATATACCATTACAATGAAAATCAAGTGAATTTATCATTGTTAATCTTACTAAATAGGTACTACTAATTTTTAAATGTAATAGAAAGTTGGAATACTACATCTAAATTCTTATCTAAGGATAGACTGTGAGTAAATTTTGCTTGAAGTTTTGTGAAATAAGTTAAATATAGTTTATGGACAATGTCTGATGTAAATCTTATTTTTTCTATATTTCTAGACTGAATTGGATCCTGATGTCAGTGTCACACCATTGGGTAAATCATGTAATGATGCACTCAAACAACCTGGACTAACGGTGTACTTTTGATTTTGGAAGCTACAAATAAATAGAATAATAATATGTGAAAAAACTTGCATTGTACTGAAAAATATACTGTGTAGAAACACCAGTGTGTTTCTGCTAAATTCCTACTGCAGCAAAATGCAACTGAAATATTCTGTGATAAACAAATGAAAGGATTTCTGGTAAACAATTTGTGCTGCGATGCTTCGTATGTGTGAAAAAACTGCTTTCATTATCATTTCTCATTTCAATCTGCGGAAACCTCATCTTTAATTACATGTAAAAATACTTTTGTTATAGGAAGAAAAATGTAAACTTTGCGAGAAGCGGCAAAGTGTTCACTGGAGATGTAATTCACAAGTATTTTGTAGTGCCTCTAAGCATTGGAATTACCAAAGCAAAGTTATATTAATTTTTATTTTTAGCCAAATTAAAAATTTTGAAACATCAGGAGCATTTTAGGTGAATCTTACAGCCATGAGAAGTATAACTGAGAAGTTTTCAATTAAATTTTATGGTGACGTTTTCTGTGACCCCTGTGACAAGAAGATGTGTGGATGACAGATACAAAATTTAAAATATCTTATCAAACATAACTGAAACAGAAAACTACTAACTCGGTAAATGTTATAATTTTATGGAATGACAGTAATTCCTTATTCTAAAAATTTACCCAATTTTGAACTTAGCAATCTAAAGAAATTTTTACTGAGATTCTCAGGAGTAAATGGATGAAAATTTTTATCCACCACTGTGCCTTGCAAGTGACACAGCTAAATGTTTATTTAGTATATATAGTGTAATCAGTGTCTGTGACTTTTTAATTGAGAATGACTATAAATATGTAAATAATGTATGAGCCAGATGTTAAGGTATACTTTGTGCGATAATTGAAGTTTCATCTTAGGTGCCTGTTACATAGGTGATGAAAAATATTTTGTTTGTAGAATCAAGCATTAGTCATATATATTTTCTTTCTTTCAGGAAAGGTCAGCTTTCGCAGGTTTGCTTTCATTATATCATTGTTTTTCAGAAAGCAATCGTTATCATTTGCTTTAATACTTCTGTGTTAAGATAGTTACGGTATGTAAGAAAAATTATTATTATGATTCCATGTATAGTGCAGTTGGGATAAGGATGTGCTACTTATAAATACTGAAGTTAAATAATGAAATTCGGATATTTAAATATAATCGAGCTTTGAAAGGCTTGTTGAAGTCCTCAGTTTTTTAATACTGTGTTAAATCTTGTTCAAAAATATTTGTGTATGCCTCAATCATTGTAAATATGTACACTTCACTTATGTTTATAGATGAAAAAAATTAGTTTTTAATTTCTGATTCGCGTATGAAAATTATTTATGTTATAAAATAGACTCACTTAAGGCTAAGTGTTAGTTTACAGTAAGTGTTGGAATATGGCCCAAATGTTTAATATTTATTCAGCTAAAACTGTTGAATTGTTACTGTAAAATATGGAATTGTGTTATTAACATCACATCATATGGTTTTATAAGCAGTGCTTTTGTTAAATTTAGCTCTGGAAGTGTAAATATTTTGCTTTTTTTATTTCTTTGCATTGGACCTGTAATAATTTCTTTAAATATATGCAGAAAACTGTAAGACTACTCATATTATACAGCAAATTTTTCATTCATTCGTTCGTGCTTATATTCTTGCAATGTAAGAAAGAAAAAATCATGGTCAGATGATAAATCTTTCCTTATGTCGTGACGTTGTAATTTTTACAGATATTACATGATTTTATACAATAGGCGTTGCGACTCTGAAAAAAATCGGTTGTTATTTGTTCGAGGCTTGATGAAATGATGCAAAATGATTCTGTGAAGAAATGAGCAGGAAAACCGATGCTTTAAAACTGCAAATTTTTCAACTCCTGATCGCTTTTAAGGTGTACGTCCCTCAGTTATTAATGCAAATGAAATTACATAAAATAGCATCTGATAAAAAATAATAATAAATGCAGTTTCCTTCAGACTCCATGTGAAAAAGTAATGTATTAGAGAGATTAATTTATTTTGATTAAATTATACAAAATGGATTTCATTTTTTAATATATTCCTGTTATTCACTTACCTATAACGAAGACATGCGCGTAAGTATCTAGAAATCTTAACTTATTAGTTCTGACTTGGTTCAGAGTAACCTGCGGCGCATTTTTTAGAAACATTAGCTGAAGCCACTATAAAAGGTCCACTACGCGATAATAATACTACTTAACGTATCGTCGCTGTTTTTCATTGTTTGTGCTAGCCATATGCCTGTAGATGTTTTGGTGAATGACCGGCAAATTTGTTCCTTATGTCATGACTTATGTCTTCTGAATGACGCAACTCTGTCTAATATATCTAATCACTTTCTATAAAGTGCCATGACAAACATTAATTTTCACATTATGGAATATTTTACGAGAATGCAGACTTTGTTATTCATAAATTACTATATTTGATTAGTACTCTGACAAAGGAATGTTAACAGATTGAATGGTAAATCCTGTAATTTTATATATACTATTTCTGATACATTCTCAGCCATCTTTAATCCAGGAAAATTCTCTTACAAGGTAGATTTTGCCCTCTTAAAATTCTAATTCCATTTAACAGGTTGCTAAAACGTCCTTAACTAAGACGCAGTTATAGGTGCATGTGCAGTTCTATACTTCGCATTTTATGAAATATAATATTTGTCGTGTTATGATATAAAAATCTTGAAATAGTTTCAGGGTTCAAGTAAAGGATATTCGACTAATTTACGTTACATGTAGGGACATTTTGTGCTGGACACATAATTTTTATGTTCCTAACATTCTTAATAAGTTTGATTAGTATTATAAAAGATTTAACATAATTGTTAAATCTCTACTTTCCATTTATATATAGGGTTAGTAATACATGGAACATATCTGTACCTGAAATTATTTCATTTATTTTTTTAATTATTTCCTAAAATATAATTTTATAATATACCTAAATGGTTTTTGTCAATTCTGAAGAATGTATTTTGTAACTTAACATAAACTGCCCATTTTTCATGATTTATAGGCGCAGAAATTTCAAATTAAAACTTCAATGGATCCTTTTAAGGTCCAAATTCAGTTTTAATTGAATCTGTATATTCTTGTCAAATAAATACGGAGAATGTATTGTAATATACATTCATGGAGCTGCGGCCGTTTCTAGAGCAAGATTAATGAAAACACTTGTGTGAAGGGAAATAAGTAACCTAATAAAAGGCTCGAAATTACGATTTTTAACTGTGAGTGACCAAATTTTGAGCTCTTTCTTCTTTCTACTAAGGTATTTACGTGAGTAAATGAAAAACATTGCACTTTTTCATATGAGTGAGATCAGTAATTTTGTATGTGTGTATATATGCTGTGCTTTTGTATATTATATTCTACTGTATACATTTTAAGTTATTAAATGCCTTTGAAGCATGTGTTTGTTGTTTATACTGTGTAAATCTCATAATACGTAGCTAACAAATATTACTCAATTAATACTTTCTATCACGCTCAAGTTTGAAGGAAAGCGCAAGTTAAGGTAACAAATACTTACTCAATTGAACATTTGGTTTGAACAATGAATTAGTGTAACTAGTATTAAATTATCGTAATTTTTGACCCCAAACTAATATAATTTTTTCCCTACAAATTGCCCCCTTATATCTATATAGTATATCCTGAAGTTCGTGTAGAATTCTAAGGCAGTCAATGTATCCTGGTATAAAAGCACGAATTATCTCAGTTTTTACAAAAATATGATTTTAGAAATTCAGAAGGCATGGTAACGATAATCTGATTCAACCCCTAACACTTTTTTACATAAATTTATTAAGATAGAGGTTTACATCACTTCTCTTGGAAGCATAACACATTTAAAGATGTAATATCCCCCTTACGTAATACATCACTCCATGTTACTTCCTCTAGTAAACACTAGCAAAGATTTACCGTGAACATCTGGCAGGTATCTTGGGTAATTGTTTGGTGAGTGAATACTTGTTTCCAGAGTGTCTCACCGGCGTAGCGTATCTTTATTCCTAGAGCAAGTGCTGTTCAGTTTAATGCAGCTGTTCCTCTCACCACACAGAGAAACGTTCCTGAATGTCATATATCTCAAGCAATGGATTCAACATGGTGGAGTCGTGGCTTAACCGGACTAAATCCACTATGCTTCTTCTGGGAGCGGATGTAATCATTCGTGTATACAAGAGATACTTGTGGACTGTATGGAAGAACTCATTGCGGTAATCTAGTAAACACGACACCAGAAGTCTACTAGAGGCTGCTCTTTCATTGGCAATGTGCAAAGGCCCTTTTAGACGCCACTTTGACAATATTCTTTGAATCTTAATGAGGTTCTTCATAATCTTACTCTGATCTTAATGGAACTGTAAAACGTATGATTTTATTGATTCTCATTTTCCTTCTCACTGCTGAAAGTTCGGGCTCATAATTTAACATCTAATTTAGGGTCCCATTCTACTCATAATGTCATAAAAGCATAGAGGCTTTTCGGAAAATATTGTAAATATTATTCGTCTTGATGGTTACTAGCACCCCACTTATTTAGGAAAGTTTACAAACACCTTGTAGTTAAAGTGTGCCATGCCCATGGCTTCCAGTCCGCTCTGGCTAGACTAACAAGTGGCCACTTTAAATGTCTTTCCTTTGATAACAGCAGAAAAATCCAAAATGTTGTGACCATCTAGCTTCACAGGATCACATTCTTAGCTGCATTGGACTTTCTATGGCGGACTTAACATCTGATCCCGTTATTATTATAGAATTTTTGGCGGTCAACAGCCTTCTTGAGCTGATCTGATATATGTCAGATCTTTCGAGGATAAACAACAATAACAACAGTTAAAGCATGCTGTAGAGGAATTTCTCGCACGTTTTGGTGACTGTTTCTGTGTTTGAAATCTAATTTAGCTACTATATTTTTCCGAAAACTAACTGTTATTGCCGATTTCAAAACTTGCTTTTAAAAGTGATATTAATCATTGAAAATGCTTCCTCTCATTCATCAGGAATTTTGGATTTCGAAGCGAGATCGAAAGTTGTTCTTTTAGCTATAAATATCGCCCATCTTTTTCCATCAGTGAATCGAAGAACGATGAATGTTCTTCCTAAGGTTCTTTCACAAGTTTAAGTGCAGCTGTAAAAGACAATGCAGTTATGAGAATGAAAGACTTTGGGGTATGTAGTGAAGTCTTTGTTGGGGACAAAAAAATTAAAAATCGATTTTGAACATTTTGCAAAATTTTTGAATTTTCATGATCAATAACTCACATTCAGGGATTTTGCTGTATTGAAGTCAAAGAATTCTTGAAGAAACTGAGGAATCTGATACTTAGACTGCATAAAATATTACCATGATTTCAAAATTAAACAAAGACTAAAATCTAGATCGTTTTTGCTAAAGATCCTTGAAATCATCAGTTCATATGAACAGCGAGTACATTAACTAGAGTAGGAATTAACAGTATTCTCGTCTGCTGTGGCGAGGTTTTTAAAGAGGGAAAGACATCATTGATTCAGACACAATATAAGATTTTTTTTAATGCAAATTATCTGTCACTGCAACCAGATTGCCTAATTTTGTATTTATGACGTGTATTACATTTATTTGTGAGTATCATTAATATTCGTATCACGTCTATAATTCTTTTCAGATTAAAATGAGTCTTTAATTTTTGGTAAACATTAATCGTTCAGTACTTTGCGTGTGAATAAAACATATTCTTGTAAAAAACATGTCCTGAAAAGAATTACTACATAAATTCGGAGTATTACGGCATTTTGATATTTTTTAGATAACACGGAAAGTATTATGTCTCTTCTTTAGGCTATTAGTTATCGTCCTTGAAATTTTAAAAGTAATTAAAGAAGTAATTTACATTTTTAAAATTTTTATACCAGTCATCAAATTTATTTTAGTCGTAACATTTATTGAATTTATCCCCTGTATTAATCGAAAACATCAGGAAATAGAAAGCACTTTTACTTTTGCGGACGTAGGCATGCTGAGGGCTGTTTTCTTTCATTCATATACATCATAAATTCCAAAGACAGCAAGTGATTTCAGTAAGTGTATTGCAGCAAGTGAATTTCGTAGGTCACATGCCTTAGGTGGATATTGCAAAGTAACAGGTACGAAACTAGTGTTGATTTTCCAATTCTCAAATGACTACCTACATCTTTAGATTTAATTCCTATCCCACACCTATGGAATACCTTATGATGGACATTCGTTAACAGCATGTTCAACAGAAGAAAAACCTTATTTAATTACATATCTATGAAGAATGAACCTCTGACTATGCTCTCGAAATTTATTTCTGCCTTATCAAATGTTTTAGGTAAAAAATAATCCTATGTATTTAAAGCTTCTATAAGTCAGTGGTTTTTGCATTCATTTTAATATCTTTTAGCAATTCAGAATTGAAACTTTTAAGTTTCTCAGCATCTTATGATGATTATGGTAACTAAGCCTAAGCCAATATATAAACATGTTAGGTTTTCAGAGATCAGAAAAAGCATTCACAAAGCTTGTTAAATGCAATTTACTAACAAGCAGTTTTAATAAATTTTAATCAAATTAATTTTGCAAATAACTTCATGAAGAATTAGCCTGGTTGATTAAATTAAGGCTTTCGTAATAATCAAGGAGTGCCTTGACATTCATCAGAAAATATTTGTGTAGTTTGAAGGCACAATGCTATTTTTAGTTCTATGAACTTGAAGACCTGAACTGATAGTTTCTTCGTTAACTCTTTTTTATTTATTGCTGAAATTTTCATGAGACTTATTGGTATCACAAATAAAGAAATTACATTTGAAGACGGAAAAGCCTTTTTCCAAATTAACAGAAACTAAATACAGTGTTTCGTTTAGTTATTCATCAAATAATACATCAAAATTTCTTTATTATAAAAAATATTTCAAAAGAGGAAGTCATACCATTATATTTAGTGACTCAAATAATTTGCACTTTGTTAATAGACTTCTACATGGGCATAGTACTATACCGATAGTAAAGCCATAGAGAATCGTTTACGACTATGTGATTGGTTTGTTGTTCTTCAGTGAGCAACCGAGTAAGCAATTTTACTAGATAGTGATATACTTGAATTGTACATTTTCCGTAAAATAAAACGAGCGCCGATATATGTGATTTTCCGGTTGGATGGAGTAAGAAAGTTATAGATTTATTGAAGTAAAAACTAAGCAGAGTACGTCCTTAAACTATTCATCGAATAACGTATAAAAATTTCTTCACTACAAAAAGTATTTCAGAAAGTCATACCAATTATTTACTGACGCAAACAATTTGCAATGACCTTTACATGGGCATTTTCATCGATAGTGCCGCCTTAGGAATTTATTTACGACTATGTGATTGATTTACTCTTTTTCAGCAAGTAAGCAGCTTTAATCGTCACATGCTTGAATTTTACACTTTCCATCGATTTCCATCGAAGCCAGTGCAACCACATGTGATTTTCCGGTTGGCCGGAATAAGAGAGTTAAAATTTAGTGGAATTGTAACGAGTAATATGCAACGAGTAAAGTGAATTCATTAATAATCTTGAATTGTGAAAATTATCGGAAGTTCTCATGTAAAGGTCTGCTGATAAGAAGAAGAATGCGTATTAAAAAGAATTTGAAAGAATAAATGTAACTGCGTGACTCTTTCTCTCCTCCCGAAACAATTTTCCTAGTAAAGATATTTTGATTTATCTGTTATCGATTTTGAACTGTTATAATTTCTTGGACACCTGTAAGACCATCATTAAAGAAAAAACAGGCTAGCGTACACATTATTTCACATATTTCTAGTCATGTATATGTATGATAAGGGCATGGAGGCCTTTTTTTACTGAAGTATGTTATAAAATTTTTCATATTCTAGACGCTAAGATTTCAGAAGCGATCTAACCGATTTAGACGATTCTTATTTCTGTTATTGGACCGAGTTAATTAATTAATAGGCGACCTCCTTGCTAATTTCTGAAATTAAAAAACTTCAGTTTTCTCTAAACTTTGAAAATTTTAACTATCCCTCTTTATTACAAAAGAAACTTTGTTAATTATATAAAATTTTTGCTTTTTCTACTTTAACTTGCAGCAGCATCTACTACAGATCATGACAAACATATGCATCATAGTAACATATTTAAATATTATATATAATAATATTAAGTTCTGTAGTTTGAGAGTAATATTTTATTAGAATGATAAGTAACTATGGGTAATGTTAGTATCTGGTCATGTTTTTATTACTTTTTTATCACATAAAATGAATTGAAATGTTTAAAGAAGAAATCCTGACGATAGCTAAAATAATTTTTTATTTAATTATACAAAAAGTACATTATATTTTTACAATACATCAAACCATTTTAAAACATTGAAATATAGAACGTAATACTAAAGAGTAACAAAATTTTATTTCATGAGAAAATTTTACAAATAATCATAAACAATTTATCTTTTTTTCCTTGTGAACATAAAAAAATTCACTTTATATAAATGACATAATTTTCATGTATATTGTAATACAGTACTTACTTTTTTGTGCACATTTCTTTGGTAGTTTTGTGACGTATTTCTATCCGGAAATTATTTTTACTCATATCTGCGCAGAAAGTCGCTAGAGTAAACCACATTGCAAGAATCAAAGTCCATTCACATATGGAAGTTATTAAGTAACTGAAACTGAACTAAAGTGAACAAAAAAAGTTATGAGTTACAATTACAGAATTAAACCTTCAGATAAATTACTTCATAATATTCTAAATAAATTATAACTGGAGGGTAAATCAAATACTCATTTATTATCAGAATAATTTCGAATTAAATTGAATAAACATAATCGATTTTATTAATAGCAAGCTAGAAGTGAATTTAGTTAACTTTTGTCCTATTACAAGTGTTAGAATGTATATCAGCATACCTGTAGGTACGCTAGCAACCATTCGATTAAAAATGAAAACAAAATTACATTTTCAAATGAAAGGTGAAGTAACTCATATAAGTTCGAAACACCTTAATTCACGTAAGGTCCAACGTACATTCTCATATTTCCGTACTTCATTATAATACATTTTTCCTGTCAGTTTCAAAAGAAAGTTAAAAAATAAACTCGAATTTGGTCAATTTAAATTCTGTGTTTAATTTTGTTGTCTACAGCATCCAATGCATTTTTTTCTTCCAATGAATTTTTTAAAGAAGTTTATTTCTTGAAAAATCCTGAACTCACTTTCGATGGAAGAACGTAAAGAATTTCTGTCATTGGGAGAGCATTATTAGCCCCTAATTCTTCAAATGCTACTGCAGTCAGTGAAAAGATACCTGAAAAGTAAACGCATGTCTATGAGTAGTTCATAAACTCAAGAAGATACTAAAAGCAAAAATGTTTGTATGTGCACTACCTATAACAGTTACTGGTGCAACAAGAACAGCTAGTTTCCATCTAAGATCCAATTCTCTTCTATTTCTTTGATCATTCCAGCTTAGAATTCCTTGAAAAATGATAAATAAAACGCAGCTCCCTAGCATCGAAAGGGCGGCAATCATATGCCCACATAACACTGAAAATACCTGCAATGTTAAAGACAGAAACTTTTTCTTTTACATATAAATTAACTTAATAGTAAATAAAAATATATAATGTAAACACCACATGACTGCTTACCGCCTATTAAATTACATGTATTTTGCTGCAACAATGATAAACTGATATTAAATACTCTTAGACTAACTATATATATAAACTGTTATTGTGTATGCAATTAGATTTCGTTATTTGGCGAAAAAAAAATTTTTTTTTAATTAGGCATTGCCAAAACATAAATTTAGTGTATTCTCGATTTTCGAGCTATTACCGGCGAAGCAGGTCACAAATAACTGAAAAACACGGATAATCCAAGTTATCAATTTTCATGCATATTTTACGCATTTATTTCTTTAAAAAAAATTAGTAATTACTTCGTTTTTGAGAACGTTTAAATATCCGTCGGATTTTACTGCAATCTCTTTTCGTCAACGAAGTCCAATAGTGTTTTAACAGAAGTCATTATTGTCTCGGAACTGTGTAATGAATTGTCAGCATCATTTCCGCTTGTCTTTTCAGTATCATTCGCTGCCTCTTCTGCTCTTGTGGTATTTGAAACGATAACCGCATCAGTCAAGCATTGAAAGTCCGGCTCAGTCAAGCAGCTATGGAATCATTCCTCAATTTTTTGTGATCGAAATTTTCGGAGAACTTTACATTTTAAATTTTCGCGACTTCATCTATTACTTCAACTTCTTCACAATTACTACATTAAAAAAAAAAATCTTTCTCCGGCAGAAATTCGCGCGTGTGTGTGTTTTTTACACATTCTTGTGCATAAAGTTGAGTATGCTTGCATGGCGACCACCAAGCACGGATAATCCTCAAACCGGATAATCCGTATGCGGATAATCGAGTGTCCGCTGTGTTTTCGTCATTTAAAACGTTTCGGTAACTGGAAGTATAAAGCCGAAGACCAACGATTGCGAAAATAAAGGCCGGTTAAGGGATAGGGTATGATATATATAAATTATTTTTAAGGTTAAAAATATAGAAAAATTACTAAATAATTTAATAATTAAATAGGTCCTGTACTTGAGCTGCATAGGATTGAAATGTAAAAAAATTATAATATTTTTTTTATTGAAACAGAGGTTTGAATCTCATTATGGCAGGAAGAGCGAAACGCACGTTCGGCACCCATTTAATCGTCGGGGTTTAATGCTTCAAATATTAACCACTTGAAAAGTTCTATTTGAAACATTTAACTGAGTGTGATTAATATTTTTTAATTTGTTTTTCCCGTAATGAAAGTTTTCTAACTTTAATTATCCTTTTATAAAAAATTATTTTTCTACAGCTTTTACATTTCATTAACAGTTTACAACGTATAAATTACATATATATATATATATATATGTTTGGTAGGGCTGATTTCCAAAATAAGAAAAGGTGGTGAACAAATATATGTTATAGAAGTCCTATGTACAAAATTTCAATGTTTACGGCTAATCGTTTTGGAATTAAGCGAGATATATACATCATAAGTCAGTACGTGCGTACACACGTCAAGAAAAAAATCTCTTTTAAATCTACTTAGCAATCCAGTTTGGAAAAAAGATTTCTTTATTCTGTCCGTACGTTCAAAAGTCACATAAAAAATCGTACAAATAACGTCGGAAACGGTCAGAATGGACATTTCCTTTGAAATATGATACCCGAAATTCTTCGCGACTACAATAGTTCCTTCATTTCGTACAAGGAAGTAAAAGGAAAGGCATCTCTTCATAACGGTTTGGACCTAAAGCACAAAACATGGCTCTCCGCTGCTACATTTGGTAGGATATTTTAAACTAATGACATTTTAATTTTTTTAAATTTATTTAATCGTGCTTATTTTCACTGTTCTTATGTTATAGCAATCTTCTACTTGCTTTAAATTACGTTAATTGAAGAACTTATAATAATGAGCAATAAGTTTGATTTGGTTTCGCTTATTTGATTATGGCAAAGCACTCTTAAGCTATCTGCCGAACGGTCCTTCGTAGAGGAATTTATGATGTTTCTGAGGAAAATATCTCTTATCCTCGTTACACATGTGTAAAGACACGAAAATGCCCATGCAGCCAGCCAGTTCCCCTGGAATCGAACTTAAGTCGAACTACCAGTGTTCAGCGATTTTACTACTCAGACGCTGGTGAGTTATAAGCAATAAAAAACCACGTCATGCGAGTAAATTTGCAGAGGTATAGATTTGTAGGTAAAGTAGAAACTTCGACTTCATCTGAAGGAGTAAATATGACTGCAGCAGATCATGTGTTTAGACGTAAACAACAGACAAAAAATTCGAGAAAATGCCAGCTAAAGAACAGGAAACAAAGCCATTGACAAAAACGTGAACGAAAACAGTTAAGGAATAAATTCTTGAACAGCTGATCTTAAAAAAGGAATAGAATTCCGAACATTAATTACAACCGTAAGATTTTTATGAATACGAAACGCCTTTAGGGAATCAAGTTCGAGAACAGAAGAAATTTAAAAAGAAAAAAAAAATTGTTTATTTGCAGAGAAACGGAAAATGCGACTTTTTGACCAGAAATAATGAGCAGTGGAGGGATTTATGAGTTTCTTTTTCTTATGTACGAAAATTAAGTTCTCCTCCGTGCGAAATTTCAAGGCTGTACTTCTTTGGCCAGTCTAGATTAAATCACAATGGCAAGGAATACTCTTTATAGTCTAAACGTTCTATTCGTTAAATTTTTTTGATTCTGCTTATTGATCTGATTTCTAATTCTTTATCATCAGCTGTTATTTTTTTTTCCTCTGTTAGCTTTTAGTTTACATTTCTTCCCGTAGAGGGCGCCAGGAGATTTGTTTTCTATCCTTTCGTTGGAACTTTATAGAATTTCCGTCTGTTATTATCATCACGTTAAGAGTATGTTTCTTTGTAGCATTTTCATTTCTACAGCTGTAGAAGGAGGTTCTATTTAACCTTCGTTAACTACAGACCTGAAACTTATTCAGCTAGTCAGAGATTCCGATTCTCTCTCTCTCGAAGTCAGTGGAACTTCGACTTAAATACTACTCCTTCTCATTTGCATTTCACGCGATTCTAAAAACACATTCTGGTAAGAAATTTGCAAACTGAAATTAGGAGAAACAGGAAAGAAGTTTTAACTTAAAAAATAACTGTTATAAACTTAGGATAAACCTTACATCCTTAACAAAAAATCTGGTGCGACATTAAAATTTGAATCCTTTCAGATTTTCTTTTATTTACTTATTTATGAACAGTACTGAGTAGTAGTCTGGAGCCTGTTAGATAGGTATTCTAGTTCTCGCTTCTTGTTCGTCAACATTTACTCTATAACACTTCACAAAGCATGTGTTATTCTGGCCTTCGAAATATCAATAATATCATGAACTGGTGCGACATAGTATCTGTTCTTGATATGTCTTCTGTCCGATTCACGATTCAATGAGTCGATAATCTCATTGTCCGCCGCTTCTTGGAAATTCACCAACGTTACCAGTTTGTTTAATCTTTTCATACCAATTCCTGATGCTCACGACATCTGGAGAAGTTCTTCGGGGCAAACTTCTAAGGCACCGCTGTTGGCTAATTTAGTTTCGTGACATAAAAAAATATACTTAGTTCCCCCCTCCCCGCTTACGATGCCATTTCGCTACAAGCTATTGCTTGGTACAGTTACGAACAGTTTAAAAAATGTAACAATAGAACTACGTAATGATAATAATCACACATTTTTATCTAGCTTTGTTATTCTGCCTGAGAGTAATTTATTACATTTGCATTTATAATACATCTTCCGTGGCCTTTTTGAAGTTGGAAATATCTTATTTATAAGTACTAATTAGAGAGGTATTGAATCCTTGTTCTATACGAAGAGAAAAATTTAGCCCCAGCTAGCAAATAATGTATAACCGGCCCCCTCCCAAAAAACAAAACAAAAAAAAAAAAAAAAAAAAATACTTTAACTTGAAAATCTCACTATTAAGCTATTCCCCCACCCCATCCCATTAGAAAGGTCTATGGCCTAATGCTTATTTTTTGCATCATATTATATTATGGTATGCTATTAACGTCTACGTGGCCTAAATTGTCAGTTCTGAAATTTGCTATTATTCCCTACGGCATAACATTCAAATTACAAGAATAGATAGCTTATCAATGTAATAAACTGAGAGCTTTTAGAACAAATATAGTACGTATTCCCAATAATCTGTATCCTCGTACCTCTAATAAAGTACGTAATTAATTTGTGTTATAATACATCTGATCGATAATCTGTAAACAGCTGCTAATAAGAAAAATAATAAAAGACGTTTCTGACACTGTGCATTATGTAAAGTATTGGAGAGAGTAACATGTTTCCTCCCTGATTCAAACTGGGGAATTAATAATAATCTTTTGCTTTCTACATTCCACTTAACGCCCCATGGGCCTATTTACCTTTTTTTTTTTTTTTTTTTTTTTTTTTTCGCCACCCTTAAGGGAACTCATACACCTTAAACCCCCTCATGATCTTCGAATATGTGATTGTTGCAGGAATTGAGATATTTTATTTATTTTAAAAGCAATTACTTCCAAGTTTTTACAGCTGACTACATAATATAGCTGCTTTGGAAACTAGTAACCAGAAAGTTTGTGTTGCCACAAATATTTTTTAATTTAATCCTCTTTGTGACCAAAATATTTCGCCATGTTTCCATCTTGCGCGCATGATATTTTAAAAATGGCTAATGGTACATACTTGAAATTGGATGGAATTCTTTATATGGGCACTATTTTCTAACTGAACCAACAAACTGATGAATATTTTAGTATTGAAAAATTTTATGGACGGAAACATTACAAATTTTTTTAATAAAATACATTTTATAAATTCAACTCCAAATAAAATAAAAATTTAACATAAAATTTTTAGAATTTTAGGTTCACAGTAGTTTTCAAATGTTATAAAAGCTATATATATTAAATATGGAATTAAATTATGAAACAGAATGTTTTAAACTGTGCGCGCAAGTTGGAAATATGACGAAAAATGTTGTCACAAAGCGGATTAAATTATAAAAATATTTGTGGCAACACAAACTTTCTGATTACTATTTCAGAAAGCAGCTATATTATGTAGTCAGCTGTAAAAAGTTGGTAGTAATTGCTTTTAAAATAAATAAGTTATCCCAATTCTTGCGACAGTCACCTATACGAACATCTTATGGGTTTTAAGGTGTATGAGTCCCCTTAATATGTGTAAAAAATTCTGAGAATAAAAGTAACTGAAAGATTCTTAATTTTTTAAAGCCGCACAAAAAATGTTTATTTTTCGTTAGAAACATAATTCAAAAATAAAAGCATGGAGAGACAAAAGTGTTTCCGCCCGGGTTCGAACCGGGGACCTTGCGCGTGTGAGGCGCACGTGATAACCACTACACTACGGAAACCACAGTACAATCTGCTTTCATATTTCATTACTTTTACATTTTACCATTTCCTATGACGTTTTCAATTTGTACTTTGCTTTGAAATTTTTAACTCAAAGGAATAAAAAATTATCCTCCGGAAATCCGAAACAGTCTGTATTAGATTTGCCTGAGATGTTATACTCAAATTAATAAACTTGTTTAATTAACATTTTAACGTCCAGAACTCGATTTGGATGTCATTAGTTTATTTTGCGAATTTGTCAAACTATAGCTTGATCATTTTAGTCATTTTGAAAAATTTTCGGTATAATTTCAAATTTTTATATAGACAATAATTTTTATTCTTAATGTTTATGCAACTACTTATATGGTTAAGTTATTATTGTTTCATCACTTTAGAAAACTTACTTTTTGCTTTAATTTTGAATGACTTTATTTTAAACATGAAAATGACTTTAATTCGAAATTTTACGCATTTATTTACCCAAATGGCCAGTTTATAAACAAGCCAGTTTGCTTAAAGAATGGCCTGATTATAGGTATAGTTAACCGGTTTCATTAAAATGCATTTTATTTCCATAGATTTTCCAAAATTATTTTCGCAGAATTTCATATTATTCTGTAGTGATTCAAATGTATTCTTAAAAGCTTAGAGATTGCATTCTACATTTAGAAATGTATAAAAATATTATAAGAATTTAGGGATGAATATAAGATAAAAATAAAAATTTTGAAGTTATAGATCATAATATGTTTATGAAATTAGTTATAAAGATTTCGTTCGCGTAATTGTTAATGGGATTGAAGCGTTTCAAGCGAAAATTTTAAATTCGAATTGCGAATCCAAGAAGGATCCGTAATTTTAACATAAAAATCGGGACATCTTTTTTAGATCGTTGAATTCTCCACATCCTGAGCAATTTCTTTCTGATTCTTCAATATCTTAGTCTTGCTGTCGTATATATACATATATATATATAACCCTATTAAATTTGTTCAGTTTACTCTAATTACACATTTGGGTTATTAAACTAATTGATCTTGTAAAGCTGGTTGTTTCGAGGTTTAGATTTTTCAGCCTCAGAAGCGGTATTATAGACTGCATAATTCAATAGCATCTTCACCTGTTGCTATGAGGCAATTTCCCTTCGGCAAATGTTTTAGTGGCGCTTGCGCACAAATCGAAAAGAGGGGACACTTGCGCGCATGAAACATTCATTACTGGATGAATAATTGAAGTCTGTAAAATTTAGGGGCAGTTTCGCATAAAACTACATCTTTCTTGAGTGTCTTTTGGTAACTTGCAACAGCGACTTGTGTTATTGATTTGCTTTGCAAATTTTAACTTTAGACTGCGCAAATATAAATTTTATGTTTATATTACATATGTATTAACTTAGAAAAACCGATAAATAGTTGTAGGAATTAAGTACCTTTGAAATGTCAAAAAAGTCCCCCAAATACACTTTTAAAGCTCTATATTTTTATGTAATTGGTTTATGAGTGTAAAATTTTGTATACTTATTTCAATCAGGGGCGTAGCTAGAGGGGGGGCAAGAGGGGGCACCTGTCCTCGGGCGCAGAATCCAAGGGGCGCCAAACTGGCGTTACGATATTTTAGAATTAAGTGTTTTCCATCCTTGACAAGCAGTAGGGGGTGCGAAATCTTCAGTTGTCCCTAGGCGCTGAAAACCCTAGCTACGACTCTGATTTCAATATCCTTGATAATTTTTTGCTATTTTTATTTCATGTTCCAAATATTAAATAAAATGACTTTTTTGCCAGCCACATAGTATATATGAATAGTATTCATATAACAATAACTATGCCCAACATTATATGTAAATAAGACACTATTTTAGCCGATTGTTTTTTCCAAAATACAAAAATAATGCAATTTACATTAAAGACTTAAAATTTTTTAGAGTTTATACAGTATTTTTTTTTTTTTTTTTTTAATTCTGACTAGTGATTTTGAGAAATCGTGCACGCAAGAAAGAAAATTATAGTTATAAGAAATCATAAAGATAAAATGACCTTTAAATTCTGGAAGTGCATATTATTTTCTTAATAAAGAAATATAAACATGTACTTATAAATTAAAGTTTGTGAGTATATATTTAAACAATGTTACATACATCCTGATAGTGACTATAGATGCTCACGGCCTTAAGATGCCTGAGTAAGGGTGAAATTAATTTTCCATAATTGTTCTACAAACAACTCGGAAGAAAACTAATAATGCACAAACACTGAAATACCGTCAAAACAGGAATGGACTCTATTTAAGAAAAATCCTATCAGGAAATCATACGGTTGACTGCTTGTTTCTGATAGGCCGTACTGGTTGTTTCTGACAAGTGTCGCTTGTTGCCCATAACTGGTTACACCTGCTAGAAAATTTCGTATTCCCGTACGGATGATGCGCGCAAACTGTCATGTGCGCAGATAGCTTTTGTATGATTTGTAATAATCAGCTAAGCTTGAAGACAACTTCACATGTTTTTCTTCATTTGAAAGCGGTAGTACACAAATAAAATTTTCGTGGTTTAAATTTTTATTCGGAATTCTAATAATATAATCAAATAAAATTCGGAATTTTTGACCGACGATTAAAACATCTGTTTTTTGACTATACCATAATATCAGAAACCGTTTGAAGGAAATTTAAATGAATAAATTTATTCGAAGTAACGAAAATTACAACTTAATTTAAAATTTCAGGGAATTTCGTAAGATATGGCGAGAAACAAATTTCTTAAATATCTGAGATTCAAACCGCAACTTTAGTGAAATTAAAAATCTAAGAAAATTCTGGATTTCATTAACAAAGAAACAGAATTCCAGAATTTAAAATCAAAATTCGTGAATATAGGTAATTTAACAATGGTCGAAAGTTTTCCAAAATATTTTTAATAATTTAAAATTTACGACAGAGAACAGTCGAAGAAAAAATTTAATGAAAATCGTGCACTATTCAGAACGGTTTGGTTTGGTTTATTAGATTACGGCAAAGCACTCGAGGGCTATCTGCCTTAAGGGAGGGATGCCTTCGTGGAGGACTTTTTTAGGGAAGCTGGCTCGTATACACGTTACACATGGGGAAAACCACGAAAACACCCATGCAGCCAGCCCGTTCGCGGGATTCGAACCTCAGACCGAACTACCAGTGTTCAGCGACGTTACCGCTCGGCCGCTGGTGGGCCTATTCAGAAGGGAAAATGGCATTTTGTTAAATATGAGAAAGAAGAAATTATTTTTTAAAGTTTAGTCTTTATTTTTAAAAGTTTAATGTAATTACAGGTTACCACACGTAATTTTCAATATAAAATAAAGTTTAAAAATGATGCTTGAATTTATTACTTTTTTCTCTCAACGCATTTATCGGCAACACTACTTAGCAAAGAGTCATTTCGAAGATCTGTTTTTATTTCTGCGGTATGAAGTATTTAATTTATGCATATAATTACATCAGTAGAGTATTTATAGGCCTATCAAGCTGAGAAATTTTAAATAATAGCCGAAATTTTTAATGACTTTGTCGTGTCCTTAGGGGCCCACCAGCGGCCGAGCGGTAAGACGTTGAACACTGGTAGTTCGGTCCGAGGTTCGAATCCCGCGAACGGGCTGGCTGCATGGGTGTTTTCGTGGTTTTCCCCATGTGTAACGTGTATACGAGCCAGTTTCCCTTAGAAAGTCCTCCACGAAGTCATCCCTCCCTTTAGGCAGATAGCCCTCGTGTGCTTTGCCGTAATTAAATAATCCAATCCGATCCAATCCGCGTCGTTAGGTTCTTTAAGCATTAAAATATTGAAAAACGACTGCTGCTGCGATGGCATTAAACCTTGATTTTCTGCATAACTGAATTCGCTGATCGCATGCATTGGAAGAGTAACACTAGTGAAATGCTTTTATTTTCTTACAATTTGTTCAGAAATTGGATGTGTGCTAAAGCTTTACAGACCTAAAATATTATTAGTTATTTCATTAAAAGACAAATAAATTTGGCTTTAGAAGCTAAATGCTGGCTGTTATTGCTCCAATATGTACCCTCAGCTCTGTCTCAACACGTTTTGAGTAATTAATAGTTTATTACCAATGGCAAACTAGTGGTAATTATAATCTCGATATCTGTCTGACTTCATTTTCGGATTTCGAAACGCGAATATTTAATGAAAGGTACGTGATTTTTTTTTTTTTTTTTTTTTTTTTTTTTTTCAATGGCAGATTGTGAACAGTTACAGTGCAACACAGTCCATTAATCTATACAAGGCCAGATGTGATGGTCTTTCTATTATGGAGGCACCTAATAGGTGGGCCACCATCGCCTCCTATGAAGGGACGAAGAGTTACAACCCTATCTTCTCCGGGATTCGAACCCAGGCCTTCGGTATCGCAGTCAGGCTTTCCTAACCACTATACCTTCTGGGCGGCGGCATGTGAATTATGCTCAAGTATAAAAGACACTGAGAAAAAAATAAATGTTAAAATTTTTAATTACGTGAAGAAAGCATATGCTAAAAAGTGTTTTATTAAAACGTTGTGATTTAATGAGTTTATGCGGATAACTATTTGGATGCAAAGATTGATATTCTGTCATTGAATTTAAGCATTATTAAAGTACCGATACACATGGTTTTAATAGATATAAATTTCCTTTTCAGTTTTAAAGACGACCTTAAGGCTTCTTCAGAAGTATGCGTAGGTAACGCTGAAATTTTTGAGATACGCGCATACGTTAAATGGAAAACAAATTAATAGTTAGAAAAAAATGAACTATTTTAGCCTAGCAGACGACTTTTTACTGGCCAACTGCAGGTAGTTTAGTGTATAATAAATTTTAGGCAGATGGATAAACGGACATGACTCGAGAACATTATCGAGCTATCATTTTCTATGATTTTTAAAGTGTAATTAAATAAACATTCAATGTCTACAATGAGAATTTGGAAGGGAAGGTACATCTCGTGCTACCGTATTCAGTTGGTTTATAGAATTTCACAGAGATCGAAACTCTCTTCAGGATGAAGAAAGTACAGGAAGGCAGTTGTTAGCAGCAATCCCGGATAATGTGTCTGCCATACGGAAAATATTAATCGATGGTAATCGCTGCACCTACCAAATGATATAGAAGGAACTTAACACTAAATCCATCGTCATGCATAAAATTATTCAAGAAGAACTGCATATGAGAAAACTGGTTTGCCGTTGGTTTCCCCATAATTTAACTGAGCACCCAAAAGAACAGCGTGTCAGAATCAATAAAGAAATCATTAAATTATTTGAAGATAGTGACCACCGCATTATTTCTAAAATCGTAACTGGTAATGAAACGTACGTACCACTTTTTGTCCTCCCAACACGTCAAAAAAGTAAAGTATAGGTCTTTGAAGATGATCCCATGTCCACAATGGTGAAAAGACAATGTGTCATGAAAAAAAGTAATGTCTGCCGTTTTCTTCAGAAGTACAGGAAGGGTCAAAGCCGTCAAGCTGGAAGGACAGAAGACAGTCACAGCTAACTGCTACATCCCTAAATGTCCTCCAGAAATTCTTCAAGAAGTGAATGTTAGAGGATTCATGTTCCATCATGACAATGCATCTTCTCATTCAGCAAGATTGACAGTTGAGTTTCTTGAACAAAAACACATCAAAGTGATAGAATATCCACCCTATTCCTCCGATCTAGCTATATGTGACTTTTGGCTATTTTTTAATCTAAAAAGAACTTACGAGGAAGCCTTTTCATTCCGAAGATGAGATTGATGAGGGCATAACTGCATTTTTTTCATCGATTCCAAGAAATGAATGGCTTGAAGCATTTAATCTTTCATCAGAAATGCATTAATGTTGAGGAGGCTACTTTCAACGCCCTTAAAATTCGTAAGTATAACTTTAAAAACCTATATGTATCTCAATAAGTTTAGAGCGACCTTCGTATTATCTTAATTTCATTGGGAAATATATCGCAGATTTGGCTCTTTGCAAACATTTATTTTTTTTTATATGCCAAAATTATGATAGCAAATATGGGTCCTATGAACGAAAGCAGAATTTTTATTACGTAAACTTTGGAATTATTTTCTTGATATGCTAGATATATTTAAAGTTCTTAGATGCATATTAAAGCTATCCTCGAACTAATATTATGAATAATTTCATGTAACGTCTTTTATTCTTATTTTCAGAAAAGTATAGTACCAACACTCTTAGGTAATAAAGAACCCCTTTCATAGCCTTTGAATGGGTGTGAAAGAAAGTACCATAATTACTGAAGAAATTTCACATATTTAAAATATTTATAAAAAGATCTCTAATAATATATGAGAGCACACCAAACACATCTCTACGCTACAATAATGTAAAGGTCAAAGGATGATTTCAAGAAAATAGTGTCTTACTGTGAAATTCGATGCCGATAGTTTTATAAATAAAGTACTTGGCTACCGAGAGAAAATAAATCTCAAATTTCGATACTTTAAAAGAATAAGAAATATTTAGATGACTTTTGAAATATGGTGATGAATTAAAGAAAGAAACCAATTTGGAAATTTCAATTTGTATACTATGCTATAAAAACAATTTGTATACTATGCTGATTGTTTAAGACCTTTAAAAAATGTCCAGATTCACTGTGTACTTACTAATATTAAAATCTTTCACAAGAATGTTGAGTACAAAAATTTTAACTATATCGGAAGGAAGTGCATTGATGTCATTCCCACATCCAAAGAAACAAATGTGAAGAAAATGCAAGAAGTTATTGCAAAGAGGTAGCAAGAAATAGTAAGTAGTACGATAATTTGAAGCCCTCTTCTAACAATTTCAAAAATTCAGCTATGAAATTATAAAAGCGATTGAAAGAGAGCTTGAAGCAAACAAGGAACAAGTACTGCAAGGAACAAGGTATTATGAAGAATTTAAAGTTATGAATAATAATGTCGAATGGAACAGTGGTAATAACGATCGTAAAGATAAAATTCACCAGAGCCCTTGTATTAAATCAGAGTTGTCCAGCATATGACATGCCAGCCATAGTCTGGTTTGCCAACTATATGAATCCAAACTGCGATTTTCTATTTGGAATTTAAAAGTATTCTGAGATTTAAAGTCAAAAGTAAACTTGCAGGAATATTAAATCTTCTAAAATAATGAAAATTGCAGCAACTCTTTTTTTTTAAATGCAAAAGGGATACTAGCAGAAATTTCAGAATTTTTCTATATTTCTCCAGTTACTGGCTTGTCAATATAAAATTAAAGCAAAGATTTAAATTTTAAGTACAAAATTGTAAGCTTTATCCTGCACAATCATTAAAATTTAAAAATACTTGAACTTTATGAATGCGTGAAATTTAATGAGAACTTAAAATTCACAATTAATTTTGGGCAGAAAACAAAACCTATAGCCAGGAGAAAATAAGAGCCTCTAAGGATCGAAAATCACTGTCGTGTTGCTTTATCCACCCAGTGAGGTGTCGACTATTTGCCTGTTCCATGCAGATTTTCAAGTCAGTGTTGCGGCCTTACCTTTTCTTTGGGAATCCTACTTTTTAACAGGAAGTTTCTCTCGAAGAAGTACCGCATTAATTAAATATCTTGTTAGGCATCTTTTTTATTATAACACATCTCACTAGAAAGAGGTTTCAGTGAAAACAAATTAATCTGAACTAAGACCTGCATCAAACTATAAATATTACCTTTAAAAAAGCTGCCAAAGAGCATTTGCACTTTGGCAGATGAGGGTGATGGTTCGGTAAAAACCATCGAAATTAGTCCTATGAAAATTTGCAAATATAACGCTGATTTTAGTTATTTTACTTCGAAATTAATACAAATGTTATTATTTAACATAACGGAGTCATGCTGTGTTTGAAATACATGATAACATTACCATTTTAAAAAATCATAGTACCAAGTACTACTAGTAGTACTACTAGTGTAGGTACTTATCAACTAAACAGGCTAGTATATGATTGTCTCACAGGCCAGCATGCAGTCTGATTAAATGTCTTCAGTAAAATCAATATTACAGAGGCGAGTTGGAAGCCACGGTCCTGAAACCGAAGAAAAGTCAAGAAAGGAGCACTGTTATCGGACGGAAATTCTGAATGACTGCTTGGTTATATCATAGCTGTTGTATAGTTTGTTAAGTAAAATTCAATAGTAGAGGACACGAATCTTTAATACTATATTGCTAGAAGAATAGATGATTTAGCAGACACACTTGAAAATTCTATTGTTCATGTCTTAAAATACTGTAACATTAACAGTCTTACAGTATAGCATGACTTTTTAAACTTTTATAAAGACAGTATTTTTTCTTATATTTAGCCCAAGATTTCTCTCAAAATATGTTTTTTTTATTAATGTTCCTTAATTGAAACACATATTGATACAAGTGGGTTTGTACAAGTTTGGAAACCATGTAAAGGCTATTTAAGTTTCAATGGCAGGTGAATGTGTACCATCTTACTGAATACTGGATATCTGTATTCAGTGTGCGAGAAGACATTGACTATGGGAAATACATTTACATTAGTATTAATATTACAAATATATTACATTACATTTTGCGGTCCATTTCTAACCCTTTCATTCTGTTACATTTATTCTGAAAAAGAAAGTAATATGGATGTGTGTAAATTTGTAATCCCTAATTACATTCCATTTCTAATGTTTTTCCTTTAATTATGTTTTTATAGAACACAAGACATCTTTGGCCCTCTAGCTCCATGCAAAATTTTTAACTTGACCTTCTAAGGAAGAGGTGGGACACGCCTGCACGAAGACATCGAAGCTAAGAAGATTCTGATAACATGTTCGAAATTGATCAGTGGCTTCGAGGGACACAAACTGAACTCTCAAGGGTTCATATTCTCAAATGTGATCAACTGAGTCTTGTGCTTTCACCCGTTATCCTTTAAGTTAAAGAGAAAATAAATGCTTTATTGCATTCTCTGTACTTTCCATCATGACACAAGTGGTTAGCAAGTCTAGCTAGTAAGTTAAAGGTCCGTGGTTGGGTTCCCGGCGAAGGCGTTGCTTATTTTTCATCTCTCCTGCTTCCGAAAATACCTAATGTCTGTACATACCTAGAAACCATTTTTATAAATATAGCTGCAGCCGTTCGGCAGCTAGACGAGTGGTATCGGCCTTTAGTGGGCACCCTGTATATTACCTACCAAGTGTATATGAATGCACTTACATTGTTTCCACTACACATATGGCAATATGCATACATGGTGAAATTTTATTTAGTAAACGCAGTTTAAGCATTAACTCTGGCATTCCCAACTCATGCAAATTTAAATAAAAAAAATTGACTCTAAAAACAAATGTGAATGATAAGTCCAGGTATTTTAAAATGAAGCTTGAGTAACTGAAACGGTGATTATTTCATCTTTGTTTCGGAAGCTGTTGTTAAAATATATGTTCCCAATCTTTTCATAACCATTTATGTTCAATTGTGTTTCAATTTAGAGTTTGAGGAAGCATTTCTGAATAGAAAAATATTCCCATTTACACTCAGAGTCGAAAGAACGTGTAATAAACTAATGAATACTTAAATGTCATAATAATTGAGGAGGGCTACCACAATAAAATTCGCATTCGAACCTTAGAGACAAGATCTTTCCTGAAATGAATATGCGTAACAAAATATCTACTCACTTACCCATTCACGCTTGTTTGGGAGGTCAGTGAAGGTGAATGGGAATGCACTGATGAAAACCCAGCTAAGAAAATAAATAACGCCACACCGCACAGATGCCTTATCGATAATTTCCAAGAATCTTTGCACTTGCGCACTGGATACTTTATTAATTGCGGCACAAGAAAAGATACCTGTAAGATAATAAAAGGTGTAGGTGAGGTTATATGCGAAAGAGAAAATAATTGACATATTAAATGCGAACTTTTATTTCATAGTTAATGATTTTTCCATTCTGTTTTAATCTGTTTCCCATTCCCTTTTTAAATTTATTCACTCACTCTAGAATTTAATAAATGAACTTACAACTGCATAGGAGTTTAGGAATACGTTAGGTTGTGCTGTAATTGATTGCTTAAGTTGCTCTAGATTGGCGATTCCCAAACTGTGATATTCGTACCCCTGGGATGATTTAGACGTAATGACGTAATGATACGTAATGATTTAGACTGGGCTAGGAAGAAAATAGCCAAGTGATATAATAAGTATTGATAGAAAAGCAAGATATTCAGAAAAATTTAATTTGTTATTGGATAAAGGGAAAATCAATTTTAACTATTTCCAATCGTATTGTTACTGGCAGAAAGATGTTCAAAAGTAAAGTGGCAAGTTGTAACTAATTCCGCTAATAGTCATATTATTCGATTCCTTACGCATGTATGTAGCCACTCCCTTTCCTATTCTGTCACAGAGTATTCTATCCAGTGACCGACAGCTAATTGCATTTTCAATATCGAGTGAATCATCAAGTCAGTTATGCAGCTATCTTTTTTAAAACTATAATCTGCAAATTAATTTGAGTACTGTAAATTTTTATTACTGCAAATATTTTACATAATTCCCCCAATTAAAAATTATACCCATATATTCGAGGCACAAATTCTTATAAAAAAACTCAGCTTCTTTTAAATGAAACAGAAAACAAGGGCAAGATTTATTCAAGTCAACGAGAACATAATAACCCACATAAAAGGCCTTTGAGTGTCTTTCAAATATTACTTAAAGGAAGTGAGAAAGAAAGTTGGATTTCAGATTCTTTCTGTGAAGGTTTTTTCCATCACGGTATGCTTTTAATAATTTAAAAATTTGGCGATAAAATAAAAAATTTTACTTGGTTTATTGATTCATGAACCTATAATTCATGTAGCATTTTTGTGTAATCGTTTAATCCAGAGTTATTATAGCCATGAGTATTTCAGATTTGCAGTTTTGGTTTTCGTCGGATACGTTCGGGATTATAAGTTATGTGTTTTGGTTAATACATTGAATAATCGGAGATGCGTTGGAAGCCAGTCGCCGCTAGGAAGTTAAGAACCAAAGGAACTACTCGTCTGAGGTCGCTTATGCATGGGGTATTTGCTGTGGCATTTCGTGAAGTTAAGGTGTAGGAAAATCACACTCGCACCGTTTAAGAAAATGAGAAGTTGTACAGCACGAGAACAGTCACACTATATGTTATAAGCATATACAGAATAATTTTTATTGCACGCATTCGTAAAATTTTGCTTCACACTTAAGTGCCGTGAAAATCACTGCTCTAAGGCATTGGTCAGAAGAAATCCTCTTGTTTGAAATAAATAATTTAATTTAATTTACTTTAGTTAAACTAAAATAAGAATCAAACACATTGCAGGAGCTTCCTCCATGTTTGAGATTAGATACAAGGCTAATTAATCTATCTGAGTTCATCAGTCTATGAATTGTCAAATTTTGTATATTTTTGCTATGTTTAACAAATTAAAGTTAGATTTTATTCTAACAATAGGTGATTTTATTTCAAAATTTAAGTTAGTCTGAACTCATTCTTAAAAAGAATAACACCTCAGGCTTAAGAAGCTGGCTGGCTAGAGTTTGAGCCTAGGCCTTATAATATAACATAAATGAATATTTAGAAAGCAAAAATAAGTTGCTTTCTGGAAATTATATAATATTTTTCAGCTAGTTTCTTAAGAAATCATACTCTCAGCATGACAGGCGGTATAGTGGTTAATAACTCTGACTGCCGTAGTGATGTTGCTCGGGTTCGAATCCCGGAGAAGGCAGGGTGATAATTGTCCGTCCCTTCATAGGTTGTGCTTCCATAATGAAATGGCCATCACTTCCGACCCTTGTAGGGGCGCAATGGCTATTGAATAATTACTAATGCTTATTAAATAAAGCTCCCGGCTATTTAAAAACCTTCAGTATGATGAATTATGTGAATATGAGGGTCAAAGAATAATTACGCAGGGCATTTCCAAAATGAAATATTTTGCACGACTGTATATCTCTTTCATGGTTGGACATGCTCATGGTTCTAGTTTCAGAAATGAACCAAATCAAGTAGGGAATCAAGACTACGACAATTTTAGCCAAAGGGACACCTTTGGATAAAAATATGTGAAACTTAAAATTTACACAAACCTGTCGAAGAAAAAATCTCAATAAGAAGTATGTTTTTCATATCCGATTGCGTCAAACAAATACTTTCAAAATTCATCATCATGCTAGTAAAATTTTTGAGTAATGCTAGTAAAATTTTTTTTAAACACCCTGTCTTTTTACCCTTACAATATTTCAAAGAATTTTTTTTTTCGATTAGATTTTATTTAAATAAAATGAAACTCACCCATAAAACTTCCTGGGATTACGAATAATGAAAAAAGACCACTCTCTGGCATTGATCCAACTGCCTGGCTGTAAGACAATTTAACAGATGAAAGATATAATGACCAGATCCAATTATTCGTATGAAAAAATTATAAATATTAGAGTAAATGAAATAGCAATGGGTGCAAGCGCTTTTAATTTCATATTCACGGGCACTTTCCTCTTCAATAAATTCATCGGTATTCATTATCAAATCTTTTCACTATTTATAATAACATTCTTGACATAAGTAAATTAGCATTTTTCGAGTTAGTTTGCTTATATTTTGATACTGCTGGCGTTTTCTGATGCAGTTTGCTCAGATTGTAAGCAAAGCTACGATATTTTAAAATTTATAGCTTTTTTAAGAGCAAAGATATTAAAAGAGGTGAGTGTTCTTAAATTTCTTCATTACATTCAAAGCTCAGGCGTGCTTGAAATTCATGACTTTTTAAGTGTAATATGTTTGTGATTATGATAAAATTTATAAAATTGAGTACTATTACTTAAAAGCCCCTGATGAACAAAATATCGTCAAGTCAAACTATACTCCATAAAAAGTGTTCTACATGTTCTTTAACAGCTCCGTATTTAATAAAACAGCCTGACAATAAACCAAAACTTTGTCAATCACAAAGGGAAATGAGTTAACTTCTCGTTATATGGGTACATTGAAGTACTTTATCGCAAACATATCAGTATTGGGTTGTGAATTCCAAGTAATAATTTCAGTTTTGTCAAAATTTATTTTAACAGAGATACACAAATTTAAATTATTAATTTTTATTTACTTATTTAAAAACAATTAAGAAAGGGAATGATCAAAAACATGGCGGTGACTATGCATAATACAAAATCAGTATTTTTTCAAAACTGCCCCCCCCCATGTATAACAAAAAAAAAAAACTTTTTTCACAATTACAAAAACAGTTTATTATTTCACAGGAGTAAGACATGTAGTAAGTGTGGGAAAAAATGAATAACAGAATACAGCTGTAGCAGTTATTTCTCTTAAGGTCACGATAATGAAATATTTGTTGGGTTTAAAACAAATGGCGCTCTGAAAATAGGTTTGTGAAAGATCTTTCAGAACAAATGATCTAGGAATAATAGAAATAAAAATAGATATTCTTAGATACCTGGAAATCTTCGATGAAGCGCAATCAGTTTTATGATAAAATGTGTGTGTGTGTGTGTGTATGTGATTATGGCAAAGCCTCGAGGGCTATCTGCCTAAGAGGAGGGATGCCTTCGTGGAGGACTTTCTAAGGGAAACTGGCTCGTATACACGTTACACATGGGGAAAACCACGAAAACACCCATGCAGCCAGCCCGTTCGCGAGATTCGAACCTCGGACCGAACTACCAGTGTTCAGCGACTTTACCGCTCGGCCGCTGGTGGGCTTTATGATAAAATGTAAAAGAAAAAACTTCATTTATAAAAAAATGACTTCCGTGCATTACAAAATTGCAGTTATTAATCATTACTTAGTTTTCCCGATTTTCAGAAATTATAACTAATGTTTTCATTTAATAATGTATGGAATTCACGAAAACAAATCAAATAGACATCTAAAAGCTCTTCTAATAAGGCTTATGCATAGATTTCTTGTATTTCTATTACCCACGTTTAATTAAGCAATAAAAAGTAAACCACAGTCAGATATGAAAGGAGAAAAAGATTATCTTATTGTTATAAGATATTGACACTGCTTGATAACTCTGTCTTATTGATACTAAGTGATCAAATAAAATGTTTAATCATTACTTTCAGTTGTCAGGTAATATTTATACTAGTAGTATAAACGATCATACTATCATTTAAAATAGCAATTATTTTACAAATTGAAATATTTCATACTAATTGAAATATTACCCTTTTTACTTACCTAATAAATGGTAAAGGTGGTTCGAATATATTTCTGTGAAGGGATATCATGTATGGAACAATTATTCCCATAACGTGCAAACACAGGGTGAGATAGAGTAAATCGCCGCAGTTTATCAGCATTCCTGTAAAGTAAAAACAACAGTTTTATGTACTTTTAGTTATTCATTATTTGCCTAAAAGAATCACATCGATATTACTGTAGATGGTCTATTAATCACTAAAATACTCTATGAAGAGCCCACCAAAATTTTTAAATACGCTAATCTGATCGTATAATTGGGCATTAAAACTTGAATGACGCAGGGAAGGTGATTCAGTTAATGCGATTATTCGTACTTATATCAAATGAAATTTTTAAATGCATCTTGTACTTGTTAAGCCCACAAGCGGCCAAACAATAAAGTCGCTCTACGCTGGTGATCCCGGGTTCAAATGCTGGCGGCATTGAACTTTTTATGATTTTTCTCCCTTGTAAAGTTAATGCGAGCGAATTTCCTTTAAAATGTTCTCCCACAAGGATATCCCTTCATTTGTTGGATACCTTTGTATGTGTTGGCATAGTCCAAAGAAACCCTTAGAGAGACATTAGGCTATTTCAAGGCCTGAGAGATGAAAAATGAGCAACGCCTTCGCCGGGAACCGAACCACGGACTTCTGGAATACGCGTCCAGCCTGCAGACCACCACACAACGAAGGCATGCGAAGAAGGCGGGATTACCTTATATACTCCCCTTTTTAAAGGGCCGCTGTGGTCTGGGTGTGGAGAATCATCATCCAAAACCCTTTTTAGTTCGGGCGCAACTGTAGAGACATTATTCTAATTGGGAGCAGGAGTCATGAAAAATGAGCAACGCCTTCACCGGGAATCGAACCGCGGACCTCTGGAATACGCGCCCTGCGTACAGACCACCACACCACGAAGGCATGCCAAGAAGGTGAAAGAAATTTAAAAAAAAAAAAAAAAAAAAAAAAAAAAGATAAACATTTTCTAGTGTAATTTTATATAAATAAATGCTGCAAATACATAAAGCAAGAAGAAAAGAATCATGGAAATTAAAGATAATAATACTGAGTCTCTCTGTTATCTAACTAACAAGTATAAGATAATAACGATAGAACAGTGACTGACTTCTGGGGTTATCTTGTGACTAGGAGAATGGAATTTTTATGATTTTTAATGTTATTATCATTATCATTATATTAAAAAATATAGAATTTTTGCTTTTTATCTTACAAAATATACATATATATTCATTTCTTGATAATTTTAGAAATTTTTATATTTACGAAGAAAATTATATACTGATGAATTTCTTTATTATGCTCAGGAAAGGTCACTAATTAAGACAAAAACGTGTTTGCTGTTTCTACTGAAAATAATGAAGATATACATGATTCCTTCCCCTTCCTTTCCGGTTCTTAAAATAATCATAAAATAAGCCGTAATACTGAAGTTCGGGAGACTTGTACCATAACATTTAAAAGTTGAATATTCACTAATTTTTAAATCAAAGGAAAATTTTTGAAAAATAGCTATAACAAACCTATAAGAACTAATCTTTCAGTCTGGCTAACTCTGTTTAGACACAGTATTATCTTTCAAAGACGACAACTTCGATTTCCAAACGACTTTGATTTCTAGGAACGCAGTTGAAGAATATGATTGTCAATGAAGTTCAATATAGTTGTTAATGCTTCAAAGAGCTGTTTTTATTTTCAGCTAGCTATAAAATTCTTCGTTAAAAATGAAGTAAAAAAAAAAAAAAAAATTAGAATATGCTGTTGCCGATTCGATGAAGCATAAGATCTTTTACTTATCTTCGATGTTATAAAAGTATGCTGTCCATTTGAGCAAAATTGTTGATCATTTAAAAGATATTTTTTATGCACTTCTTAGTGACATTATGTAGCAAGTGGCATTTTACACTTGAATTGAATTTTAATTTTATTCAGGTCTAAAGATTTAGTTTTTGTAAGTTAAGAATATTAGATATTACTCCTATCTTAGAAAATAACCTAAGTACTTTTATGATTTAAATATGATATAACTTATATGACTTTATTGTTCAATTTTAAAAAGCAAACTATTTGAATAAGTAATTGGTAAAAATAAAATAAAAATCATAAAGAAAATCATTTTTTAATGTGTTAGCTGGTAATCTGAAGCTTTCGGGTAACAAAATTACAATTTTTAATTTCTTCAGAAATGCTGTATAAAGTCATGGCGGTTCAGTGATGGTCTGGAATGTTTTCTCTTGGTAATATTTGAGACTTCTGATACTTGCATCTAGTACCCTCACTACATATAAATACGTTGACCTGATGAGTGATCACTTATTCCGTTAACCCCTTCAGGGAACATCTCCTTGGAAATTAATATGTGACATGCTCATAAGGAATTTCATTGTCAAACAACCGGACACTTTGCCCTTTGCGCGGTATTCATAGCCATATTTTTATGGGTCTGCCGGAGATAGTTTATATTCCTGCATGTCTTTCTGCCATTCAGGTGAGCAAGGTAAACTGCTCCTGTTAAACTTCCCGGTTTGCTACCACTGGTTCAAGAAAGATATTACTGAATACTCTTTTCTATAATGGCCACCAAGAAGTATTGACTTATATTCCATTAAAAACCTTTGAGAAAAGATGTGAAAGCACATTAACTACCACCAGCATCCTTCACTGATTTATGGGAAATTCTAGAAGACATATGAAAGACCATACCTATGGAACAATTCCGTAGATTTTACGAATCCATTAGTCGATATATGACAGCCGTTATGAAGTTCGAAAGAACAGCAGATCGTTACTAATAAGAAATCTCTAATTAAGTGGGACTTACGTATTTTCAAGAAATGCCTATCAAAACAGTACTTCCCTGATTAATACCGTAAATTATGGAACAATATTTAAGATATCAGGAAATAATAGGCTTTTATTGTAACTTTTAATTTATTAGTTTCCTTCCCAGCAGTGAAAAAATATTTTAAAAAATAATTCACATGAGATTAATGAATCAGTAAGACAAATTATATGTGATTAGAAATACCAAATGGGTACTATTCCATTTTGAGGACCGTAAAAAATGGCAGCGAAAATGTATGCGCAAAAGCGCCAAATCTAGCAAACGCGCCCATTCAACAGCGCGTCAAATCTAGCGTACACGCTGATTTCAGATTGCGTAAGTTTATATAGTTCTATATTTCTTAAGACGCCATTGAAATACTAGTTTAATTTTTAAATCCTTTTTTTTTTTTTTTTTTTTTTTTTTGTGATTTTATTTTAAATCCCTTTTTATATCCTATGGATTTAACAACTTGGGAATTGCCCATGACGAAAAGTCGTGCAATAGAATTTTGGGTTAAAGTGCAGGAATCCCCTATTGTTTGATGCGTTTTTAAGAATTGCACATACTCGGTATCCTTGTGCACATCGACCTATTTTAACTTTAAAAAAAAAATCCCAGAATTGCACAAAAATGGCACTGCGCACACCGTTGACTTTATTATGTAATTTTATTCACTTAAAAATCCACCTATTTTCACTTAAAAAGTAAAAGAAAATTTGGCAAAAATTCAATTGTGTTGCTTACCCTTGTAAAAAGCGGCAAACAAATACGTGAGACGATTCTGCACTTTACCGAGAATATTTTCAAAGAAAAGGCATCATTCATTATAGGAAAATTACGTTTGAACAACCAACGAGATGAAATTATGCTTTAGCGATAACTCGGTAGCGAAATAGCGATGCAGGCATCCATTCAGTTATGTTTAGCAATTTTTATATAAATTATAATAATGATCTGAAATAGTTATTTACTCTTATGCTTCCATTCAGTCATGTTTAGTATTTTTCATATAAATTATAATAATAAAAAAGTATTATATGAAATTAACCTTTCATCTAAATTAAAACATCAATCTTAGATAGTTATTTACTATTATACTTCCTTTCTTTCCGCAATTATTAGGGTTGCCGTAATTATGTTTGGCAGCATTGGCATCAACAATAGTTTGGCGATTTTTTACGGCCCTCGAAACCGAATAGTACCAAAAAATGTAATTTCGAAAGGAAAACAAAATTCTTAACACCACGGAGCAAATTTTGGAAAGTTATAAAACAAAAATGAAATAATTCAAGACGAGGAATAGTAATAGATTTTTCCAGGCAACTCTTACTTTGACAGCTACAAGATTTACATGAACAACCTCAGCATGCTCGATGCGAACGAAAGCAGCTGTTGTATAAGCAAATTAACTGGCGTCAGAAAATGTGTGAACACTTATAAAATATTTTCTCATTCCTTTCAGTATGTGTTCGTGGTGTAACGGTAGCAATCTCTTCGCGTATTCGAGAGGTCCAGGCTCGAGTCCCGGCGAGGGCATTGCTCATTTTTCACATCTCCTGCTTCAAAAAAACCTAATGACTCTATACACTAATACCAGGCTGACCTTTTTCAGCAGATGTAACACAGAGACTAATAGTCAAGAAACTTAACCTTTCAGACGATTTCAGAAACTCCTGCTTCATATTGTCTTGAACTTCCCTATCTCATGGGACATTATCTTTCCTCTCCTTCATATCATCAGCTTAGGAATTAAAAAGAAATAATGTAAAACTCCAATTTGATCAAAGATTCGATGCGTAACGGAAAGGCATACTCTTTTCGATACGATCTCAAGTTTGTATGTCTCCAACCAAAAATTAACTTAAAAATTAACTTTCACTTCATCATTTGTGAGATTTCAAAGTAATCTTAAAAGGGAAGTAACCTATACTGAATCGTCATATTCTGTATACTTTCATGCAGTCAAGTTAATTTTTCCGTCAGCCAAAATATGATGAGACTCTTCAATAAATGGTAATGTTTCCGATTCGATAACCAAACTTGTAACTAGATTACCCATATAAAAACTAAAAGACTTCGAAAAAGCGTCCCAAGAATTTTCTGACTGAATTTCAAACTCTTTAGATGTTTTTCAAGTGATATTCTAATACGACTTTCTAGTAAACTAATGAGCCAAAATTTCTAGTAAACTAATCAGCCAGTTGGAGAAGACAAACTTTTTTTCTGTGAAAACGGGATTTAAAGTGCGTTCATTAGTCTTGGCCAGCTTCCCAA